TTTATATATATATATATATATTATAAATGAAAAGCCAATAAATATATAGCAAAGAAACCTATTAAATAAAGTTTTTGATAATTTGAAGACAATAACAAATGAATTGAAATACTCATATATGTCAACAATCATATTCTAGAATAAAAACAAATAATATTCATATTGCATACATAATAAAACAGAATTGCATTAAGAGATGGGGTACAGAGAGAGCAACTTTTAGACATTTGTCGTGCTCTCTCGAAGGTTTTGTGTTTTATGACTTCCGGAGCTGGTACCCCCTGACAACGTCAGCTTCGGTTGTCATTTTTATATTCTTCATTATTTTCATTGTTTTCTTCTTTAAAATTTTCTATTGATTTCAATTTTCTTATGGAATTTCTGCTACATTGAGCAACTTTCCTTTGGAATTGTAGTATTTAACTGATTACTCCTATTTTTACTCCTATTTTTTAAATTTCCTGATTACTCCTATTTTCTTTGTTCTTCCTGACCTATGGGAGCCGTGGTTAATGTTTAATTTTATTCAAATGGTTCATAAGGTAAATGTTAACTTTCTGAAGTATCTGAAGGAAAAATTTTAAGTAAAACCGATCCATTTTATTTTCGCTATGAAAAAGAAACAGCACAGTCATACAAATGGCACCTTTAATATATTGTTAGAAAATGCTTAAGAGTGTTGGGAAATGTTAAAAAAATTCTTACCTCTGGTTTCAGATCACGATGAACAACTTTACTTTTGTGCATAAAATTCACAGCAGAAACAAGATGACGGAATATTCTAGAAGCCTCTTTCTCAGTAAATCTAGTTTTCTTTCGTATCCTTTCCAATAGTTCTCCACCTTTCAGCAATTCCAAAACAATGTAAGTGTAATGCTAAAATTAAAACAGAATCAAAAATAAATATGTGCAAAACAGTGATTTTACAAAATTAATGAATAATTTGTGATACAAAATTATAGATAAAATAAATAGAAAAAATAAAAAGTTTCACTATTCTGCAATAATGAGTGTTAAAAATATCATTATTTAAATATTTTAATGAGAAAAAAGAAAAATTCGATTGAATAAAGCAACACTTAATTAAAGCACAAGGTAAAAAATAAAAAAGTCAATAACTCAATCATTGAAGAAATTAAACAGCTAGGAGTTATCTTTGATACAAGACAAAAAAGATATGAAACAAAACAGTCAATACCTTTCTAAAATAAACTGCGTGAAGGGAAACGTATACTATTAACTTAAATTCCTATCATTAAATTGTCTTAATGTTAACACAATTAAATGATAAATAATGTTCATTATTTATCGGTAAATCACCTACACTGAGGTAGATTACAGGCAATTTTTATCTTAATTTAAAGGCATAAACTATAATTGGCATTTAAAGAAATTTCAATAATGGGTAAAAACGCAATATCTAATAACTTTCAGAAAGCCTACTATACATAAATTTAGAATCATTTTCAAGGTAAAAAATACTTTAAGAATAAATAGTTCCATAAAATTTTTTGTATCTTCAGTTTAAGTACTTTTTAGTTACCATCTACCCTTTCTCTCAAGCAACAAAAACTAAAAAAGTATTGCTCACTTGGAAATTATTATTAAGCTCATCAAATCTTAAAGTGATCAGCACAAGTCACTAAACAAAATGCAAGAAAATAATGTACCAACATGTGAATTTTTAGTAATTCTAAGTAATTAATTTTCAGCAATTAATAGTAGGAATGTAATGAACAGTTGGCAAAGTATTTTTATGAAGAGTACTTTTCGACAAAGTTTTTCTGGGGGGAATTTAAAAAGATTTCATAAAAAATAATGTAAAATAGTATTTTCTACTATACATTATAAGAATTAGTTTTTACGCATATTTATCAAGATCTAAAACTTGTTAATTTATGGTCTGAAAGACGAATCGAAAAGCGAAGAATTGAAATTTGATTACTTTATACTGAACCTTAAATTTTGTACTATTGATTTTTTTAATTATATTCCGGCAAGTCTATTTCAACAATTTTCTCTAAACCTTTTTTTTTTTAATATTGAGAACTTTTTTTTATTTGTTTGGTTTTGGGGGTTTTTCAGTTTTACTTACAGAGCAGCATTTTAATGGAATGTTTCTTATAGACTTTATTCTTTTGTTGTCATTTTTTCCTGAACAGGTAAGACATAACAGGTAACCTAGCAAAATGGGATTCTCAAAGTTGAAGTTACATTTCAGAACCAAGAATAATTTCTTCACAGACTCACCTTTGCTTTTTTATTAACTTTTCCTTTTATCAGTGTTTTTATTATTTTTAATGAATCATTTTAATGAATAATAATGAATATAATGAATTATTTCTAATGGTCACTTTTTCCTAAAGGTAGAAAAAGTTTAATTGATATATTTAAAGTTTAAATTTTTCGTTTAAAAATTAAAAACAATTTTTGTTTTGTACTGACATTAATTATGCAATATTAGCATTTATTCTGATAGATAGCCATCAAAAAATATTGATAATTTTTATTTTAAAAAAAAGTACTAATTATATGAAATTGAAACAAAAGTATAATATTTCTTAAAAAAATATGAGACTTTACAACTATATTGTATCACGGAGAAAAACTATTTTCTTTAGCTTAAAACATGATATAATTATCAGTTTTATAAAAAATATTTTTAATAATCAGGGAATATAAACCAACAATACGAGTTAAAATAAACTATAATCAATAAATACTAAGTAATAATCTAAACACTAAGTATTAAAGATCTACTAGGTGGTCAAAAAATACACTACCTCATCACAGAGGACTTCATGAAATTTCACAATATTAGGATGGCCTTGACATGTTTGCAGATTAAGTATTTCTCTCGAACAATCAATGCTCGAATGGATTATTTTCACAGCATATTCAATCTTAGTTTTCTTATCAATACACACCCTTAAAGATAAAAGGAATGAAATTTTATTGACAAAATAATACTTTATAAGAAAAAAGTTCCTTCAAATACATTTTTATACATAAACAAGTAAACATAAACAAGACAAGTAAGGTATAAAAGTAAGGTAACAAGTAAACATAAACAAGACAAGTAAGGTATAAAAGTAAGGTAACAAGTAAGGTAACAAGTAAACATAAACAAGTAAGGTATAAAAAAAATTTACATATTCCTTAAAATTACATAAATATGTTACACTTAATATAAAAAATACAGAGGAAAACATTATAGAATTTAACAAAATCAAACTCGCCAAATATACTTTCAGTGAAACCTCTGAACAGACCTATGAAAATGAATGAATAACAAATTCATTCATAGTTTCTATTCATTCAACATTAAAAAAATCTTAACTCACTTTCTGAGAAATTTAAGGATGAATAAATTGCCTCACACGTAATAAATTTAAAAAGCCTCACACGTAATAAATTTAAGAAGCCTAAGTACATACAATGAACAATTCCTTTTTTCTAGATTTTGTTTTTAATTTTTCTTAATTTGTATTAATATTTCTTTGTTTTACTAATCTGTCCTACTATATGAATCTGAGACATGGCACTACAATAAAAATAGCATATTTATTATTAATTATTTAAGAAAAATATTCCATATTAAGTGGTTCCATAAAGTTTGTAATTCCATAAAGTTTGTTCCATAAAGTGGTTCCATAGAAAAGCAGAACAGAAATGGATTGATCTAGAAATCAAAAAACTTAGATGGAAATGGATCGGTCTTGCTCTATGCCAACCAGAAAATTTTATTAAATAAAATAAGTTTTTGATTGAAACCCTCAGGACAATAGGAAAAGAGGAGATGTAAAAAATCTTGGAGCAGGAAGATTGTAAACTAATTGAAAATCGGAAAGTCATGGGGAGAGGCAAAATATCTGTCCACAAGTAGAGTGAGATGGAAATCTATGATAGAAGCCCTATGTGCCAATTCAGAGTGAAGAGAAATATGCTTGTATGTAATATTTCTGTTTCACCATAATGATAATTGGCCATTATTGTTTTTATTTATTTTAAACATAAAAAGAGTTCTTAGGAAGAAATGCTTTTTATTCTTCTCTTGGTTGCAAAGACAAGAGATTAATGCAAAATAAAATCAGGCGCCCTTTACCACATGAATCTCAATCAGTATGTAAAGAAAGGATTGTAATAATCATTAGTAAAGGAAGAAATAATATTCCTATATCTCTCACAAAATCTTATAATTCCTTAAAAAAAATAAGCAAATATTAAAAAGCAAATATTATTATCATATAATTTTTCATGATTAATGGATAACTAAATTAATAAATTTGTAAATTAAATTTGTAATGAATGGGTAAATTGATGAATTATAGATTCATGATCTATGAATAGTTAAAAAAAAGTGTTAAAATAGGGAAGATATGGTTCCAAAAGTTGAATAAGAAAATTGACCGAATTATTTATAGTGATATTTTTTTATTTTTTGATGTACTGCCATATCTTTGTAGATTCCCCTTGTCGAAGTTTATATTTCAAAAAAGAAATTCAGGCCATATATCACAACAAAAACAATTTTGTTAGTTTCTTTCGAACATGATTTCACTTAGGTTCAACATCTTCCAAAAAATAACACAAATTTATTTGCTCTTAATGTTCCAGCTTGAATTAATGAAACAAAATTTTTAAAGTTTCCTGAAAACATGAAAGGAACTTGCAATGAAATTTGCAAAAGTAAAATTCGAGAATATGAATAAAATTATAATGAATGCAACATATTCAGCAATTCAAGTGATCACTGCAATTGTATAGTCTGACGAAATATATCACATAATAGAGATTTACATTTTTATCCATTAGCTAATAAAGATTTAAGTAACAAAGAATATGCACCAAATATATCTTAAAAACTAAAATAACTTAAAAACTTTTCACGTATTTAATTTAATATTACACTAATAATGTAATGGAAAAGCTGAGATGAAAGCTCATAATGACATTTTTGTATTAATCAATTTCTTAAGGAAAGATATTTTACTTTTATTTTACTATGGAAAATTAAGTTATTTTGACAAGTTTTTAAATCTCAGTGAAAGAAGGTACTAATAAATGAATTAACATTAGAAAACCTGACTCTCTGTAACAAATAAAACTGCCAAAATAATAACTGGCAGAAGAAATAAAACTGCAAGTAAATGTTATGACGCAAACAGTTTTAATGACTTTAGGGATTAATAAATTTAGCCATAGATTTGAAGATAAGAAATGAAGGCAAATCATAATCTTTATTTCCTATTTTCATACTTAAAAAATTCAAAGCTGTATTTACTCAACTATTTAATTTAAATGAATATTCTCAATTTATTTCATAGATAGGTAGGCAAAAAAAAATAGCAAATCTAAACTTTTAAGTAAGAAAATTTATAAATGGACACCAAAATATTCAAATGTTGTACTCATTATAAAGCAAACTCAATATAAATAAAATGCTGTTAAGGTAAGTTATTATAATTGTAGAAAATAGAAACTTTTAGTAGAAAACAAAGGTTAAGTTACAGCTAAAATATAAATATACATTTTAGCTTTTACTACAATAATAATGCTTGAGAATATTTCATATTTGATTGAATTTCATTTAACTCACCTGCAGACGGAAAAACTTCCATCTCCGAGCATACTTCTTTCCAGGAGGATTTCATACTTCTTATGAAAAGGGGAGTTCTATTAAGAAAAAAATTAAGAAATCATTCCTACCCTTGATCTCAAATAAAAAATTAAACAATTTATCATTTGTTTAACTCAAGTACCGGAAATCTTTCAGAAAACCGTCTTGCTGTATCTGGTTCATCAGGTGATCCAACAATATCATCACTAATAGCATTTCTAGTAAAGATGACTGAAGGGGAAACATAGGAATAACCCTAAAATTAAAACAAAAAATACATTTAAAATGTTACAAATGCATGTACATTCTAAGAAAGATTTTGACATGTTTAACAAGAAATAAAAAATAAGAGCTCTAAGATTTTCTTAACTAAAAAACATTAATTTATGGAACTGAGTAGCAAACAGAAATATGTTAGAAAATTGCTGATTTTAAAATATAAACCAATTTCAATACTAAAAACAAATTACATAAAACCAAAAAACTTTAACAGATAGATAATACCTCATAAAACTTTGATAATTACAATATTTAATTTGTAAAAAAAAAAATCTACAACATTTCATTTAAAAAAATTAGAAATATAAACTAAAATCAAAAATGTTTTACTAACACAATAAAACGACTTTCCTCATTTAAAATAATTTCTTTGAATGCTTATGAAACATAGATTTCTTTTTATTTCATTAAAAATTTGCACACATTAAAGAAAAAATCTGAAACTCAAAATTGTTCAAAAATATGACTATAAGAAAAATTATTAATCGATATTTTTAGGAAAACAAGTAACTAGTTCGATACTATTTATAGTAATTGCCAGAAATTGCAACATCGATCACAAAATCAAACTTTTTTAAATTAGAATCCAATCATGAAAAATTTTAGCGAGAAAATAGCAAGATGATGAATCCATAAGGTAAGATCAATCTCTTATGTAGCAATATAATTTACCTTAAATAAAGTGTCGTGATTTGGAGGGGGAACACCGCCAGGCGAGTATACAGCATCAACAGAAGTGAACTCCTCAGAGAAATTTCTAGTGTCAAGAGGATTTGAAATTTTAGGAACTATAGGAGCTTTCACTTTTTTCTGAACTAAATCATCCCAATCAAGACACTATTAAGTAAAGAAGATTTGTTAATGACATCAAAAATAAATAAAATAAAAAGCACACAATATGAAATTTCTTTTTTATGATTATGTTTTGAAATTAACAGAAAAAAGTTTAAAAATTTTATTGCTTAAAAGCACGAAAAACATTTATCAATATTTTTAACTTCATAACTAAATTTTACTGTCCAGTTTATTTATTTATAAAAGTATAATTTCAATTGTTATAGAAAAAAAACTTACGCCTATGAAAGAGATGTGTAATAACAGTTAATAAAGACAAATTGCAATTAAAAACATAAAATAAGATTTTTACTTAAATTATTTTGAAGCAAAGAAATTAAGTTAAGAAGCAAAAAGAAAATAAGTTTTAAATAAAATAAAAAAAATATTTAAATAAAAATATGTGGTTGTATTACTAAGTGTTAATTTTAAATGCATTGAAACTCAGTATTTGTTTTAAAATATGTATTTAAAACTGCAGAGGTAAAAAATATTTAAAACAATAAGCATACAACAGAATCACAAGTAACATATACAAAACAATACAGAAGGTAGCAGAAACCATCCAGCACAGCAGCTGGTGATGCAGATTATTGCAGCATCTACATATTATTTTTCAGTTGAATTTTGCTTTTATTTTTAAAAAGAAAACAAATAAATGAGGAGAAGTTATTGAAACTTTGTTTAAAACATCTCTAAACTTGTTTCTAAAAAAAATTAAAACCTGAATTGAGAAAACCCCATAAAGAATAAAAAGTACAGGTTTTTTCTTCAGCTATTTGATTAAAAGGCTTAACTACATAGAGATTTATTACACGGTCTTCTTTTTACACGGTCATTCATTAAATACACTTATATTGAATAAATTCAACTTATACTTGAATTAAAAGCATAATAATAGCAGTACAAGAAAATTACTTTAAATTAGTGATACAAAAATATTTATAGAAAATCAATACCTTCAGGACTTTTATTAATTTTATGCTGGTGACAACCAAAACAATATGGAAATGAATGACGAAAAACTGGTTCCTACCACGAGATTTTCAGGCCAATAAAAATGCATGAACAACAATGAAAGACTGCTACACCATCATTGGATTTTTATATATAGTAAGATATTTGCAAACTTTGCTACATGAATGTTAGATTAGATTGAATTTTTACAATAATAATCTTAGTCTGGCGGCATTATAATTGCAGACATTTATGAAGATAGAGCAGCAAATTCATTCCATAAATTTTGCTACCAAAACAATGTATACACAATGTTAAAATATACACAGCTACAAAACAAATCAAATTTTTATAATTAATGTAATTACAAAATATTAAATAAAATACATTTTTTAAAATGTTTTATACAGTTTATAAAAACAATCATCTAAAAATCTTTTAAAAAAATTATTACAAAAATACAATTGTGTTTTCTACTTAGGTGGAATGTTGTTTAAATCAAAACATTTACATTAGGCCTTAAGAAATAAAAAAGGCAAATTTATCCACATATAACAAAAGAATAAGTGAAGCTAGAAATTTTTTGAGACGTTTCATACCAGAAAAAGCACCACTTAAATAAATTTAAATTATAATAAATTAATTTTATAATATCTTATTTTATTTTTACCTGATTGAAAGAATTTTAGAGCTTTATAATTTTAACACACAACAGCACCTAATAGAAAGAATTTTAATACACAGCAAAACCTAACACTTTAAAAATAAAATTGTATTAATTTAAATGAAAGGGACTATTTTATTTACATTAACATTGAAATAATGGTTTAGTCATTACTTTAAGAATGGGAGTAAAATAAATGCTTAAATAAACTTAATCAATTAATAAATATATATTTCTTTACCTTAAAAAAGATTGATCGAAACAATTTACCTGGAAAAATTTTAATTTTATAGAAATTGGCAAAAACATTTTAACTGTTTCAGTAAACATTNTTTTTACCTGATTGAAAGAATTTTAGAGCTTTATAATTTTAACACACAACAGCACCTAATAGAAAGAATTTTAATACACAGCAAAACCTAACACTTTAAAAATAAAATTGTATTAATTTAAATGAAAGGGACTATTTTATTTACATTAACATTGAAATAATGGTTTAGTCATTACTTTAAGAATGGGAGTAAAATAAATGCTTAAATAAACTTAATCAATTAATAAATATATATTTCTTTACCTTAAAAAAGATTGATTGAAACAATTTACCTGGAAAAATTTTAATTTTATAGAAATTGGCAAAACATTTTAACTGTTTCAGTAAACATTTTATAAATTACAAAAAATCAGGTTTTGATTTAAGTTCAAATATAATTTTTGAAAGAAATTTCAATGTTTATTTACCTTAATTTGTTTTATTGTATTTCGACAAACCAACATCTCTACCACCTTAATAGATAACTCAACTGATTGTGGAAAAATGATATATGGTTGTCATGAAATACACAGGGATTACAAAATGATATATACTTTAAAAAACCTATGCTGTTTGAGTTCATCCACCCCTTGTGGACCACCACCGAGTCGTTTCTTGGGATCCTTCACAAGGACCCGCCTTAAGAAGTCTTTAGCTTCAGCTGAAAGCTTGTCTGGAATAGGAGGACCACCCCTCAATATCCTCCTAAAAAATAAATAAAAATATTTAATACACAAAAAAAAATTTCTACATAAAACAAAAAAGAAACCAAAATTTCTGACCTAATAGAACATTTAAAAAAATTTCAGACTTTAATGAAAACTATATCCAATATCCTAGAAACTGTATCTGTAGTTAAATTTTAATTAAATAAGATTAGAGTACTATATAAAATGAAACTCGNAAAAAAATTTCTACATAAAACAAAAAAGAAACCAAAATTTCTGACCTAATAGAACAGTAAAAAAAATTTCAGACTTTAATGAAAACTATATCCAATATCCTAGAAACTGTATCTGTAGTTAAATTTTAATTAAATAAGATAGTATAAATAATATAAAATGAAACTATATAAAATGAAACTCGAAAGACTGATAGCAAACCTGCCCATAGAAATCTTTTATTTGAAACAGTTAGTTAGTGAATCTTCCATTAAAAAACCAAATTAAAAATATAAAATGCCAGCAATTCAATTCAATCCTTATTGATCTATTGATTTAAGAGTTTGTTTTATTAGATTTTTTACAATTTGAAAAGTATCTGGCTTAAATGTTTTTCAAAAACGTATATTTTCAACATTTTTAGATATATAATAAAAAAATAAATATACTCAGAAAGAGTAGAAAAATTTTAGGAAAAAAAAAAAAGAAAACTGCAATATCTTTCTCAGATTCTCAAGCTAAATTAGCTTGGGAATTTAATTTTCCAATGCTTTACAATAGACTTAAAAGCAAATACTAACATTTTAACCTTTATAAATTGCTGTTAGTATAACAAATTTTTATTATTATTATAAATTCTTATTAAGGGGTTGACTATTTTCTTTCTAGCTTCAAAATTATTAAATTTAACAGGGCTGGAAAATCATAGTATGTTTAATAAATCGGGAGAGCTTAGTTACTTTTTTACTCGTGCAAAAAATATAAGACAGAAACTTTCATATTAATAAATGTATTATCAAAGATTAAACAAATAAAAATTGAGTACTCTACTTAAAACTCAATAGGGCTCATTTGCTAATAACTTAAATTCTTAAAAGGCTAAATCTTTAAGCATTGATCGCACTAAACTTTATATCAATAAACAATGAAAAACTTAAAAGAGTCTGGTTAAATATAGGAAAGCTATTGTATAAATTAAATCTAAGATTAGGTAACAAACTATTCTATGAAAAATACCAAAGAAAGCAAAATCTGTACAATTAAGTATTAAATCAATCATGTGACTTTTAGTGTCACGAATTCAACAAATATCTCTCAAATAAAATACAGATTTCATTAGTTCCACATACTGAAATAAAAAATTATACCATACATAATACACATAACACACATAATATACCATTCTTTGAAGAAAAAAAAGCTTAAATATTTTTTCCTTAGCTATTAATGTTTCTAAACTAGCTTTTTAATTACACTTTTAAAACTGTTTTTCTTTTCTTTGATGATTTTTAATAATTTTAAACATAGCATTCACACACCCAGACATGCCAAATTGAGAAAATGAAAAAATAGCAGACTTTTCTATGTAAAACATTCAGAAGGAAGTCTATAGTAATAAATTAAAATAAAGTTAAGAAAATTAGTAAATTACTTTTATTTACAAACATAGAAGTTTTAACGTCACATAAAAAGTCAAAAGTTTTGAATAACTTTTTGAATTTCAATGGTCTTAGATTATCATTAGAAAATTTTATAGTTTTATCTTTTTCGAAGCCCTTATGCAAAGAAATTATTCTGAATATAAATTATTAAAATAAATTGGATACTTTTTATAATTCTCTTTTCTGCCATATCTAACGACGCAAACCACATGCAAAATGCTTGCTTACCTTTTTCGAAAGAACTAATAATGAAATCACTTCATTTCACGATGCTCATTATCCATCAATAAATATTCCCTTTTTCACGAAAAATTTTCACAGCTTAAAACAATTCATACTACTAAGGTAACATTATCATTAAATCTACTCATGTTCTTAAAAATTAAATCTATCAGATTTAGATGTCGTATCACGTGGGCAGGGTTTTTTATTTCGGAATCAACATCTATAAGCAGATGATGCAAATGGATAGGAAAACAGCTAAAATTGAGCTTAATGCACAAATAAATAAAAACCAGAGATTTCAACAAAACCCAAAATATCATTTAAAAGTCTGAAGACTCCAGGCAAAATCCAGAGAGTCAGCACGTTTGCACATACCACTTCTCAGCAAAAATCCATAAAATAAACCTTTCTTTAAGCATTTAAGTAGTTTCTGCAATAGCTTACTAAAAATTACTTAACATACTTAGATATCTCAGCCTGAGTGTTCTTTTCACCTTCTACTGTGAAAGGAGAGGCACCAGTCAACAATTCAAATAACAAAACACCAACACTCCAGAAATCAGCAACCTATAAATTTAAAAATCTATAAAATATCTGGGGTTTTTAAAAATCACAACAGCAACATAAAGATGAAAATTTACTCACATAATCATGTCCGGTTGTTCCTCCTTTTATAATTTCAGGAGCCATGTATTCTATCGTTCCACAAAAGGAAAAAGTCCTTTGTTCCTATGAACAAATACAAAACATTAATATTCAAGTTGAAAACTTATATGAATACAAGATATGAATGAAATCAGATATGTATAATAGAGATACAGACAGATTCAATTTCACCTTAAATTTAATTTTAATCTGTAAACTAAATAAATCTTGATTTTTTATTTATTTATTTCTTTTGACAAAAAAATTCAACATTTTTAGGGTTAGCAAGTTACAGAATGGATATCAGTCTTTCACATTTTTGCTAAATTTTGCTGAAATCTTGTGCACCAGATGCGATTTGTTAGGGACCATGGCTACCAAGCAATTGAAATAAAAAAAATTGCCAATGACTGGCTTGCTTCAGCTAGAATTTTAAATTGATAAAATAAAATAAAATAATAATAATAACAAAAATTCTGAAATCACAAAAGTTTAAAAGATAATTCGCTCTAAAAATGCTTTTTCTTTCATTTTTTGAAAGAACATAATTTTTAAAGAACACAATAAAAACATTTTACATTTTAATCAAGTAAGACTGGGGATTTTGTTACAAATTTGGGGGAGAGGGTTAAATTTAATTTTAAAAATTAGATTTTTCAATGACCTAAATCCATAACTTTTCATGATTTTTTTTAAAAAATAGTTAAAATCATGACATTTCATGAGAAATTTCTTTCAATACTGAAATTCATGACTTTCCATAATTTTTCATGACTTTCCAGGTGTGCGGATACCTTGAATTTACTTTATTCCTCATTAAGTTGTGATGGAAAAACAATCATCAAGGGTTGAATAAAATAAATTGAAACTCAATCTAAACATTAAATATTATAATTAAAATATGTGTTTAACTACAGTATCAGCAATTATGTTATTTCAACACTTGAATTATTTGTTGATTGCATATAAAAAATGCCGTAAACATGTATAATTTTTTATGCGTATATGCAATGTACCTGTATAAATGTTTAAGTAAAAATCAAAAGAAATAAAATGTATTGGATTTTTGAGAAAGAAATTCTGATAAGTATAACTAATGAATAAAATGCCAATTTAAAGTGCAACTTCGTCAAAAATGAACACTCAATGTTAGTTATGATTTTGTGATCCAAAGAAAATCCACCATTAAAATGCGAGTTCGTTTGATTAAGAGTCAGCAAAAATACTGCAATAATAGTCATAACAGAAAAATCCTAAATATGCTTGTTAAAAATTGTTTAGCGGCAAAAGTGCTTAGAACTAGCAAATTATATATAATATCCAAAAGAGAGAAAAACTTGTACTAGCAAAAATGTACAGTACAAATTAAGTAATTTATAGTATATTAAGTAATTTAAGTAAAAAACAATAACCATTTTACAAAAAGAAAGGAAAGAAAAAAACTTTAAAGGTAAAGCAAAAAAAAATAAATACACAATCCATAAATATTACGAGAAGAATTAATTTTTGGACAAAAAGGTAAGATTTCCAGATCATGCGCTAGAACAAGATTTTTCTTAAGATAAAGTATGCAATTACTTGCATATACAGCTGACACGGAGATTGAGTTATGCCTCTCAACTTTAAAACCATTTCAAGATGTTTTGTGTCACCAGAGATCATATAGACATCATGTTTTGTTTGCTATTATAGTATGTATCTAATTTGCTATAAAATATACTACAATAATAGTATTAGCAAAATATTTTATAAATATATTATTATTACTATAATAAAAAATATTTTATACATCTGATGCTGTTAAATTCTCTAGTCAAGTACAAAGTATAGTAAAAAGAAAAATGTCAAATATTTGCCTTAAAAGAATTTTCTTGTGAATCTGATTGTTCTTAAGATTTGACTGTAAATACGAAATTATAAATTTGAAATAAGAAATACTTGACCTACTGTATAAAACACATACTACTTTGATACTAAAATAGTTGCATAGCAGAAACCTAATTTGAACAATATTTTTGACACAGAATTATATTTGTTTGGTTTTGATGAAAAATTTACAATTCAAAAAAGATATTTAAAAAAAGTACTATGAATGAAACATAATTCAAATTGTAATTGTAATTTTAAAATTACTTAAATGAATATAATAAACAATAAATAAGCACTGTTTGGCAACAACGAACTGCAAACAACATTCTCTCGATTGGCTATATGATATAAAAATCTAAATATTTAAATTGTCAGCAAAACTTGATGTACCTCTTCATGAGAGCGGAAATCTTTACTTAAACCGAAGTCAGTAACAACAACATGCCCATCAGAATCCAGAAGAATGTTTTCAAGTTTTATATCCCTATAAATAATGCCAAGCTGAAAACAAAATTTTAAAAAAACATATTAGTAACAAAGAAAAGTCTATAGATGATTAACTCATAACCCTATGTAAACAAAGTAAAATTTTTAAAAAAAATGGCAAAATTTAACAAGAGAGAAAAACATTCACTGATACTATTAAGAAAACAAACTTAAAAATTTAATAATTGAATTGCTTACATTTGCAAATTATTTCCGTAAATAAAGTAAAAAACATTACTTAAACATATATATATTTCTAAACAGCATTCTACAAGATTTCATTAGCAAATCAACTGTTGCTCAGACATAAATAAACATTATTATAACAATTTTTTAGCAAATTTCTTAATTTTGCACTATTCACATAATCAAAATGTAGCAAAAAATAGGGCTTTTTAAATTGAGAATATGAGATAGTACTAAATTCTTTTTCCATTTACATTAAATCATCATACCATCATTCACTATGGAAAAATATAATTATTTACCTTAAAGAGAAGGAAATTATGCATGGTAAATTGAACAAAAAACTAGAGAAACTTTTTTTTATTATGAATACAGTGCTTTTCCTACATTTATTTATTTTTTTTCCCTTAAAAAATGTGTAATTTTGCATTTTGAGACACTGAAATTATGGAAAAATTAGAATTGACATAAATACAGAACAACTCAGATTTACTGTAACCCATGAATAATGAGTTCTTGCTTTTAACGTCTTTTCAGTTTGGTTCCCTTTCATTTCTACATTCTACAGATCTACAACTTATTTTAACGATGCACCAATTTTGCTACAGAGAATGAATATTTTTTCAAATAAAAAAAAGGACAAGGATAGAAAAAAATGGATGCCTCGGAATATTTGAAAAAATCATCATGCACTTTAAGATAAAATAAAGGTAAACAAAAGGCTATTTTTTATTTCTTTTCTATTAAATAAACTACTTCAGATTGCAAAATGCCTACATCTGAAATTACCCTATCCTATGCTATTATCCAGAGGTGGTTTGGTCACCCCTTTTGAAACTTTAGTAGGCATCTCAGTAACTGATCTAAAACAGGTGCCTACCACTTTTGTCTGTAAATAGAAATCACAGCTTCTCAAAATTTTAAATTTGGTTTTTAGAAAGATGAAATTTCTTAGCTGGATTTTAAAAAGGAGCGAAGCAGTATCGGCTATGTTTAAATAAAAGAATTCTTAGAATAAAAAATAAGATTTCATGAAATGATTAAAATAAAGAGAAAAATAAAATTTTAAGAAATAAACTTACCTTATGTAAATGTTCTAAGGCAAGAATCACTTCAGCAACATATATCTTAGCTTGATCTTCAGTAAATTTTTCACGGTGAAACAAGTGGGTGAATAGCTCCCCTCCGCTAACATAATCTAATAAATATAAAATTAACAATGAGTAAAATTAATCTATTACAGATAAAGATTAACAAAATAAAAGAGAAAGTCTTAAAAGATTAAGATTAACAAAATAAAGGAGAAAGCCTTTTTAAAGAGAAAGAAAAGACAAAAAATATATTTCACTCGATTAATAATTTTTTATATTCCTATACTGTTGATTTTAATTCATAATTTCTTTTTATTCAATATTGTTACTTGCATGTTCATATATATATTAAACCGATGTTCCCCGAATTATAATATGAAAGAAGTTTCAATACAGAAATTCATCTGACCTCATTTAGCATGCATTAATACTTAAAAGAATATAATTATTGTTTGTATCTGTTGCAACACAAGAAAATTCATGATGGGCAATTTCTACACATACAGCTCTTTCCCAAAGAAAGAAGAAAAGAAAAATGCTACAAAAATTAGCAGCCTTTAGGAAGCTCAAATTCTCTCTGTATTAAATTCAGAAGTCACTATAGTACTGTAGAAATTCCTATACTTAAATCAAAAGATAAACTAGTTTAACAATTAAAAACAAAAACAAAGCAATAAGGTTAAATCCAAACAATTAGCTGCACAAGCAGTATTATAAATTGAACTGTACATGCAAATATGAAGCACAATGTATAGCACATTAACTTATAGTAAGTTCTAAAAAATTTCTTTCAAACTAAAGATTTTAACTGCAAAAATAGTTTTTTTTTGTATTCCACTGTTATTCATTTAAACTTCTGTGCTTATTTTTGTAACAATTTTTCAAAATAAGTTTCATGATTATGAACTTATATAGTCTATCTCAAAACTACAGTCTATAAGTACTTAAGACTTCTATATTTTAAAAATAGGTAATTAACTGAATAGAAGGAAAATAAGGCAATATGCACTTGTTTAAAGGAATAAAGTTTTTCTTTTAAACCCTCTTTTCTTGTAATTTTAAACAGATGAAGTAAAATAGTAAAAAACAAGAAAAAATTTGTCATTATAAAACAAATTTATTATTAAACTTTTTAATAAAATCATTTACAATATTACAAAGAACAATTTGAATAACAGAAGAGCAATAAGGTTTTATTGTCTGCAAATTAGGTTGCCTAGATAGAAAGTAAGTCAAGTGCAGGTAGAAAACGCTTTAATTCTAGGTCAGTACCTAAGGTTGAAAGCAAAATGAAATTCCAAACAGAAGTAGAGCTTTTGAGTAGAAAAATGAGTGATTTGGTGAAAACCAAAACTTAGTAGTAATGAAATTGATTAAACTGATTTGAATCTAACCCTACCATGTATAAAGATGCATGCCTCCATTACTTTGCCTTTCTTTTTCATTGAATCATAAATTTAGTTTACAGCTTTTAATTTTTATAATTTGTGCCAAAAAATAACTTGCTTATTAAAGTGCTATCTCTCTTCTGACAATATATTAAATTTTATAAATATTTATTGCATGAATATACCAACAATAAAAATATAATAATAAATTTATTTTAAATGCAAAGATTTCATTTTTTTTTTTTTAAATGATCAAAAATTTCTAATTGTACATTCCATGGTAATATTAAAATATAAAATAAAACTTAAATACACTTTCTAAAACAAAAACAAAAAAAAGTATAACTTAAGTATTTGAAAAATTATTTTGTGTTAAATTTTGAAAACACGAGTTTTTCCAAACACGAAAATATATATCAGTCAAGAAATGGATTAGAAGGGAAAAAAATTACTTAAAAGACAAAGTCGGTGCAGAAGAAGAGTAGCAGAAAAATAAATAAAAAAATTTTATAAAGATTTTTAGAAAAAATAATAACAACCTAACAAGTTTTTGAAAATTTCTTGCAATTTTGTAGTCTCATACAAGAAATTAAGAAAGATTTCATTAAAAAAACAGGTGTACTGTAACCAAGAAAATTATAATCTGCACAGTATACTTTGTATTCTAAAAACACTTCTGTAGAAATTTTAATAATAATAATGGCAAACATAATTAAAATAAAAAAATCTAATTTTTTTCTTTAAAAATAAAAGATTCAAAAAATATATTACCCAACACCAAATGTAATTTTGCATCTGTTTGAAAAGCATAATGAAGATTGACTAAAAAAGGTGATTCTCTAATTGCTTCAAGGACTTGACGTTCTGTTTTTGCATGCTCCAACGTCTTAGGCTTGTGTACTGCATTTATTTTCTTCAATACTTTCATAGCATACAGCTTACCCGCATCGTGCCCCTTCTTCTTTCGAACCAAAAATACTTTTCCATAGGCTGAAAGAATTTTAGAATGGTTAATTAGAGAGAAAAATCATGCATAAACATGTTATAAAATTACAGGATAAAAATATGAGCTTAGGCAACAAATCTACAGGGTAGCTTTTATGAATCTGAGAATAGATTTGTAACTTATTAAAAAGGAGGATAATTTTTAAGCTAGAATATGGGCTACAGAGTCACGATGGTTTGGGAAATACATCTTTCGAACCCTGCTCTCTGCTTGCACCGACCAAAGTGCTGCAGACAGTGTCCTCAATGATAGACGGATCATGGGTCATGATCCCCTTGTTGTCGGACTAACTGTGGAAGGTTTACGTGGTTTTTTCTCTCTATGTAACACAAAGGCAGGTTAGTTCCATCAAAAAGTACTCCATGAAGGCTAGTTTGTTTCAATGCTTGATCCTTGTTTCAATGCTTGATCCAAGAGTTATCTTTATCTTGTCTTATGGATTGAGTTCAAAATTACAAGGCTACGGAGTTGAACATTAATAGTTGCAAACTCAGAATTGGGTCAGCTGTTCAACACAGGTTTTTAAAATAAAAAATATGGGCTACAGAAAATTATAACAAAAAGCACAAATAAAATGCCTAAAAAATATAGCATTTTATAAAAATAGTTTTTATTTTAATTATCATATTTGAGCTCCCCATCCATATAAATTTTTTAGCTGGTGTTTTATTTTTATTAGTTAAGAAAATGAAAATGTTCAAAATTTTGCAACTTGTATAAATCAATAGTGAAACAAACAAGACATTTAAAAATAAAATCTTCTAATAAATTAGTTATTTTTGAGGAGGATAAAAATTAAATTGAGGAGGATAAAAATTATTTTTAGAATGGTTAAATTACAAGCTTATATACAAAATTTTTAATAACGACAAACCTTCAATATTTACAGGGACATAACATTCCAAGTTTAATTATTTTCAAAAGTTTAATTATTTTCAAAAGTTTAATTATTTTCAAAAGTTTAATTGTCGTTCCTTTCAACCCTCCTGATTATGCCTATAGTATACCTAAAATACTTATATTAATCTGATATTAAATAAACATTACATAATAAAGGTATTAATAAATATTAAGATAAAAAAAAAAAACTATTTTATAAGTCCTTACCACCAGTTCCTAACAGCTTTATAAAATCAAAATCAGCAACACCAACTTTTTCCGATCCATTAAGGTTCACTGAAAAAAAAATTAACAAATATTTAAAAACAGTCTCTTTATCAATCATATTTTAAGTAAAGGAATAACATAACAGGTGCGGGAAGACAACAAAAAAGAAAATTAGGAAAAAAATTAATCAAACAAAAATTAAAAAAAGCAATATATATGAACATTAAGCGATTGAGCATTTTATAATTTAACTAACAGCTCCAGTAAAAAGAAATTAGAAGCTTCCGTTTTACTAAAAACTTAAAAAATTATTTAACAAAATTTTATTATTCAATTGTTCCTGTATAGATTTTTGAACAATTTAAGTACCTTAATATAAAACAAATATTTTTGTTTAATTAATTTTGAAAATTCAAATTTTACTAAAAAATTTATTTACAAAAATTTCTTTAAGCTTATTTAAATTTCAAAAAAATTGCAATGCAATCACAATATTAAAAAATAAATAAACAATTCAATAATCACTGAATTTTATTGCTGGAAAATTAGATTGCAAGTAATTGGGTCTCAGAAGTGAATAAGGATGTCTTAAATATAATACTAAGAGCATAAAAATTAAAGTCGATAAATTAATAATTGGAAATCACAAATAAATTGAAAGAATATTTCATATGTTTCTATATTTTCAAATTGCAAATGCGTTTCAAATGTCTAGAATAGAGAACATAAGTAATAAACTATTTAAGAAGACAAGCATTACTCATTTATAATTTCGTTAACAGCAGAATTATAATAGTTAAAATATATTTTCATCATAAAAACTTAAAAAACGCATTGATAATTGCAAACTTATATCACAGTATTCAGAAATTGATGTAGTCAAAAAACATCGTTATCATAATATAAGCAGTAATTACAAAAGTATCGTACTTTCAGCAGCCTACCCGCAAAACCAAGAAGTGCCAAATTTCGTGCACAAATCAATTCAATGCTAAATAACACACACTCGCACACGCATAAAAAAAATAAAATCAGATTATGCAGATACCTATCAATAAATATGCAAGAAACTAATTCTCAGAAAATAGATACAAATATTGACTTAAGACATTAATCGAATTAATAGTTCAGCAGCAAGATTTAAACTTTAGTAACATTAGAGCGATTAGCTGATTAAGTCATGATTAACCTGCCAACAATACAAAAAAGAGAAGAAAGGCAATATCACACACGAAGATATTTATTCTTGCGACTTAGCAAAAAAACATACTTTTTCTACCATAATCCTGAGCAGTATCCGCTAGAAGCAGCAAATTGTGGTTTTCCATATAGCAAATATGATGAGTGTGCAACCTATTATCAGTAACTAACTACAAGAATTTTACTACGATAATGTACAACCACCTGAACATATATTTAGATAAGATGCTACTTCAAGCAAGGACTATTCAAAGATAGTTTACTTCTTTGACCAATCAGAGAAGAACTGCAAATTAACCAGTTTTCCCCCACTTTAAAATGTTTGAAAAATTAACATTTCTCACTCAAGTTTAAGACATCAATACCCAATGAATAACTGAATTCCTATATTTAGCATTCAAACATGAGATGACATCTACAGATTAGGCACCGACCACATACGGAGGTAACAAAGCTGATAACATACATAAGTATGACATTACAATCAATCAAACTATTGTAACAAGCAAAAGAGTAGAATAAATAGTATTGTTAAAAGTGCACAATTGCAATAACCAGATGAATTTTTGGAAATAAGGAATTGTAAGACCAGAAACAGACTTGCCAAACAATATTCCAATTACTCAGCAACCTTAACAATTTTTATCAAGGGAAGGTAACATCATAGGAGGTCTGAGTAAAACTCATACCTTCTTTGTGTTCTATAGAATTTAAAAAATTTCCTAGGACAGGGGAAATTAAAGTAATTCAAAAGATTATTTGTTTAAACTGTCGTTTCAGAATACGAGACAATTTAAGTGAGTTTTAATACAAATTAACGAAATTTTAATTAGACCTAAAATGATATTTCAAAATTAAGGGAATCATTAAACTATGCTATAATAGGTTAAGGGGTTTAAATTATGTTAAGGAGATAACTTAAATTTAAAATAATTATTTTTTATAAGAAATATTCATTGTGGTATCATAAATAACATAACTATAAATTTCAGAACTGAATTAGAAATAGGGTTCGTGATCTTTCAAAAAAAACGTTCGCACTGATTCGATTGAAGAAATTTTACATTTTCTGTGAACTTTAAAAATGAATTGATTAAAAAGATTAATTTTATTGTAAATTTAATATATCAGAAAAATTATGTCTGTTCCAATGCAAATCGGTCAAATTGTAATTACAGCTGATACGATTTTTCAAAATTAAAGGTCTTCTGAAATATTTCAATTATACGAAAATAATGATTTGTTAAAAGAAATATTCGTTGTATTTACAACGAAACACAACTGTAAATTCAGAACTACCCAAAATTATTTTCATTCTGATTTTTTTTTTTTTTTAATTACAAGTTTTCTTCTGAAAAATGGCTGTCTATCAATAATATGTTTGTAGGAATTTCAAATTTTAATTAATAATTGAATTTTAGTAACAATAAACCTCTTATACACTATATCATTCAAGCAACAGTTTTTCAATCTTACAAAGCTTACTACTATCTCCGCTAAATAATCGAAATATAATATTTAATAAATATTTACACTTAAAAATAGGTGCAAGCTGATGGTTTAGTTACCATACAATCAAATAATTAAAGATATTAAATCTAAACGCTTGTAATTCTAAAAATTAAAAATAGTTTGATAAAATTAATGGCCAAAACAGAAGATTTAAAAAAAAATTGAATTATTCTAAAGAGTTAATTGAAAAATAAACTAGAGTTAAAGTTAGTTAACTGATATATTCAAAAACAAAAACATTCGTTACAAGTAATAAAATTCAACCATTTCCTATATGACACATAACAATTGAAATATAACAGCTGATATAAATATTCATACACGTCTAACAATTTAAAGGGTGATGGGTTCGATAACTAATAATCTAAATGAAAAAAAGAAAACAAAAATCTGCAAGATTTAAAGGAAATAATTCCAGAAGTTTATCAAGAAAATATTAGGATAATAACCAAATAGCACAAAAATTCTCAGCTGACCTTGTTTACATGACACAAATGCCCTAGAGAAAATGATCAACACTACATTGCATCACTTTAACAAAAACAAAGTGAAACTGACTTGAGTCAAGCCACAATGACCTTGTAATTTCACAACAAAAGAAGGCACACTAACTAATGCAAACAATTCATGCACGTGATCATTTTATATTTTCCTTCGAAATATCAGAAAATAATCAATATTAGTTCAATTTTCTGACGAATGTAATGGTATTTTTATGATCGTTTTAAAACCATAATTTTCAAAGAAATTAAACAAAAATTTTATTATTATTTAGAGTTACAACTAAATCAGCTACAATATTATGAAATTCTTTTTACAATCTTATTTCCAAAGAACACTGTAAATTTCCAAAAGCCAACTCTTTTGAAGTAAAAATATCATTTAAACTTCATAATTAAAAAGAACTTCGTAGAACTGGATAAGTTAAGTTTTACTAGTCAGCTTTAAGAGTTTTTTTATTCCAGATTTTAAGTGTTATTGTTCGTTTTCTTTCAAGCATTGAGATCGTCTGTGGAACATTTTTATCACTGACTAACTACTTTAATTGCATTTCAAATGTTTTGGTAAATTGATATTGTAATTAAATTTCGAGCATTTTATTTAATTTCACTTTTATTTATGTTGAGTAAAAATGTAACACTCAGATGAAATTCTATGTGAGTTGTTACTTTCGACGTAGATATTTCGATTTGACGGGAATCGTATACTCGTACTTAGAAAATTCGCGAAAAATAAAATCCAGAAAAAAAAGAAGAAAAAAAAACCCAATTTATCTAAGGGCTTAAATTATTAAATTGTAAACTTTTATATATATACATATATATATA